ACCCGCCTAACCTGCTAAGTCCAGATTCGGCAACCTTATGGCTGCTCGCTGTCAAAGGGCATGTACCTTTCAGGGTTAATTAGAACACCCGGATAACCCGTTCAATACTTTTCGCCTGGTTCCTCAGAGAAGGTAATTATAATAGTTTTTATAGTTTTTGATAATATTAATAATATTATATAAAAATTAAAAAATTAATTTTGAATCAAATATTAATTTATAGAAGTCTATTATTTTTTTAATATTTAAGAAGTTTTTAAATTAAATTGATTTAAGACTATAATAAACTATTTTTATATAAGATATATATTGAAATTAAAAAAATTTTTTTGAACTATTAAAGTTTAATATTGTTTAATAAACCTGATATTAAGAATATTTATAATATTAATTATTATAATCTTAAATTGAATTTGTAAATTAACAAATAAAATATTAATTGAATATTTGTATTGATATAATAGATTGAACAATAAAATAAACAGATTTGAATTTTAAGATTTTTGATAATTTTAATTACAAACTAATTTATTTTTAAAAATACTTATATTTAATATTGTTTATAAAAACTTATATAATTTATAAAGATATAAAATAATAATAAAAATATTTAAAAATCATATAAAAATTTTTATTATAGAAATATTTTGCGTAATTACAATATAAACAAAAATTAAATTATTGCAAATTTTTTAAATAATAATTTTCTAGTAGTTCAAATTTTAATTTTATTTAAAGTTCTTGAACTATAAAATTTTAAGAATAAAAAATTAATCGATATAAATTAATGATAAAATAATGATAAAAGAATTAGACATATTAATAAATTTTTAAATTTTAAACTTTATTTTTTATATTAACTTTAAGTATAATTTTAAATCAGTAACTAATAAAAGTTTTAATGAATATACGCGTATTTAATATTAAAAATTAAAATCTATTTAATTTATTTGAATGCACGTAACACGATTTTCTATTATCGTGTGTCACATAAATTTTTGTATGTCGAATACAAATGATAGTGACTTCGATCTATTTTAAAGTCTAAAGTTGTCAATAATTTATTTTAATAGAACCATATTTATATATTTTTTTTATTCAATGAGACGTATTTCTAGACACCGTGTATCATATGTAATTACACACAGTAAAGAAGAGCATGGCCATCTTTTGGGAATTAATTCTTTAGCTTTAGATACTACTACCTTAAATCCGGAAACAGGAAAATCAGAAGGAATACTCTATTCCGCTGGACGTGATGGTGTTATTTCCTCCTGGGATTTGCATCTACCATTTAGGAAAAATGGACCAAAAAACAAGGACGCACAGAATAATAGAGATAACGAGGCTTCGGAAAAGATTGGCGATTTTAAAAGTAACTGGGAGATTGATGACGAAATTGATCTTTCCTCGGTATGTTAATAGTCTAAAACAGCAAAGTACGGGTTTTATTTTCTCGACTACATTAAAATCGTAATTTTTACGCTAATAATAAGCAACCTCCACGTAATTCAACCTTTCGTCAATCTTTTCGGGGTCATACGGACTGGGTCAACGATATAATACTTTGCCATAATAATGAAACATGTATGTGTGGCATAAGTACATCTATTTAGCAATCATTGTTGTATAGTAGTAATTAAACCTGTATGGAAATTTTTTAGTAATTTCCGCTTCCTCTGATCGAACATTAAAACTTTGGCATCCTCACAAATCAAATAGTCCAAGCACTATCGGGTATCATACCGATTATATAAAAGTTTTATCTTACGCACCCGGTCCGGGTTGGGTGGCAAGTGGTGGGTTCGATCGTAAAATCATAATATGGGATGTAACGGAATTCAGGCCCTCATCCGGAATTTCTTCGATAAATGCAGTCGATCAAGATCACCCAAAAATAGGTATCCCCGAATATATGTATATCACCATTTTTCTTCTCTGGTTTTGTATTTTATATTTCTTGCTATTTATTTCCGAAATTGATTTAAAGAGGCATCACCCAAGTCATCGATATATGCACTTGCGTGCGATCCATTAGGAACTGTGTT